AATTGGTATGTTGGCTAGGTCTCCTCAAATAGACTGTCAGTTCCCTGGAGCACAGATCATGGTTCCTGTTTTTAAACTCCTCCCTACAATATTTAGTACAAGATGTTCTGTGCAGTATAAAAGCAAGAAATACTTTTTTTTTGGTGGGGGAGGAGGCGAATGAATGATTGAATGAATGGATGGATGGAATCTAAGTGCAAATAATAACCTTATGTGTCTCCAACACAGCTATTTGGTAACCTCACCTACCTGGAACACAACAGTAAGGGACCAGAGTGTGCAAAGAAAATGCACAGGATCATAAGATAATAATTGTAATTATTTTTCTGAGAGCTTATTATGGGCCAGGCATTAGTACTTTACATGCTTTATTTCATTTAAACCTCACATCCCTATTTGGTCATCCTATTATTACTATTACATTCCATGGACAAATACATAACTAGCCTAAAGTTCTAACTCAGCTCTGTATGACTGAAGTCTATGCACGTAAGCACTGTTCTTTCCAACCTGTCTTGGATTAGGTGCTATCTGCATCGGGAAGCCCAAGAAAGCTTATTTAGACCTTTCTCTCCCCACTCCCTCAGTCCTTTTCAAAACTTTTACTTTGCACACAGTTGTAACACCCAAGGAGCTCCATTCTCCAAGCCCACAGCAGAGCCAGGGCAGCAGAGGAGAAAAACCTCATTATAGGTCATTTCATAAGATGCTAATTTACAACTTGACTGTAAGGAAGAGGCCAAAGAAATTTTTCTTCCTTTCTTCCTTTCTTCGTCCTCCATCCCTCCCTTCTCCCTCCCTCCTTTCTTTCCTCCCTCCTTCCCTCCCTCCCTTTCTTTTGTAGAAGATAAAAATGATGATACTAGAATAATAGTAGCCTGTGGCTATTCTGGTTCTGGTAGACCCTCAACTACCTGAGCCCTGACTTTAAGCCACAGGAGCTGATGGGTCCATGGGAGTATCTGGATCAATGAATTATCATTGGAAGTCTTGAGAAGGGAGGGGTTGGAACCCTAGAAAGGTAGTCTCCAGGATGACCTGGTACTCATTAAGATTCAATGTATTCAAACTTGCCACTGTGAAGAAGTTTGATTATCCTATACTTGCAGGGAAATTGAAGTTTGGAAAAAAGCAGTCAAGGGAGATATTTCAGATGGTTTTAATTAGGCCTCAACTTATGAAAGGCTAAGGACTGAATTCTGGGCTTCAGTTTTGAAGCAACTGTCTCTCTTTCAAAACTTTGAATTTAAGCATCTGAGGAGTATGGGATAAAACAGCCCTTGGAGCTCATACTCAGCCTGCAGTGATATGCTATGCCTCTTCTCCCTCAAAGGAAGCTTCAGTTCTAATCACACTAGGCTGCTAGGCATCCTGCTCCCCTTCAAACAGTGTGTTTCTTCCTGCTTCTATATGCTTGCAGCTTGTTGTTTTCCTTAACTTCTCTCATAACACTGGTTGCTTTGCAATGCTCCCCATGTTTTCCTTGAATTTTTCCATCAGCACTTGATTTCTCATTGACCTTTACTTTGAACCTCCCTGGAACCTAGCAGTCAATTCATTACCATGCCTACTACAGTTTCATGTGTATTAGCCTTAGTCTTTCACTTGATTATAAAACCTTTGGTGTAAAGAGTTGATGTCTTCAAGTCAACTCCCCAAATACTTATGAGATCCAATTAAGTGTCAAGTATCATGCTAGGTACTTAGTAGGAAAAAAGAACTGAGCAAGTTATAAACCTCGTATTTCAAGGAATGTACAGTCTCATGAGGGAGGCAGAAAAGCTTCTCAATGGTTCATGGAAGACTGTATCTGATTTTAAAATAATTACGGAAGCACCAGAAAAGGGGAGAGTTTAATTCTGATAGTGGGTGGGAGTTTGAAAATCTTCAGGGCGTGCTCTGTTAAAAGGGAAGAGTGAAATCAGGAAGTAGAGCTAGGAAATACAGGCCTGGGGAATGTGGCTACAACAGCTGACTGAGTCTAAGCCCTAATTATCTTGGAAGGATATGCCAAGAAGTCAACACTTTACCTGCAGGCAAGGGAGACAGGGAAGGTGTTTAAGCAGAGAGAGGCCTCAGACCAGCAGCCCATCTATACTGCACAGTCAGTCCTAAGTAAATATGTATCAATTAATTAACCAGTATAATGACTCATATGAGAGGAACAGACAATGTTGAAAGTTTTAACTCTGAATCCAGGGATCATGGAGACAGTAGGTCACTGCAAAGTAAACAGGGCTCACCTGGAAACTTGAAACTGGTTGTCAGTAGAAGAGGAATTAGATTTATTCTCAATGCTGAGGGCAGAATTAGATCAGGGAGATGAAACCACAGGGACACAGAATTATGCTTAATATGATGGTAAAATTTGGAGCTGCTAGAGCTCTCAGGGGATTTATTTGCAAAGTGGCAATCTGGTGGGACATTGTTGATGGGACAACTGCTGCTCAGGAGGGAATACATGTGCTGGATAAAAGGTTAGGATTCAATCAGTGGTCCAAAGAGCCAGGCTAATTTGTGATG